CAGGCCCAGCCCCCAGCCGCAGGGCCCGCCCCCTGCCACCCCAGGAGCCTGCCTGCCTCGGTGGTGGGGGTCGGGGAACAGCCCAGGGGCCCTGGAAGTGGAGCCCTGACCTGGGGGGGCGGGCAGCAAGGTGCACAGAGCACAGGGCTGCCCTGGTGCCCAGCCTGGCTTCCAGCCTCAGCCCTGAGACCACCACTCCGGGGTGAAGTAACTTCCTCCACGGGGTTTCAGAGCCAGGCCCCTGCAGATGCTGTAAGGTGTGGGTGCAGGGGCCCCTCCCCTGGAGAGGAGCCCCAGAGAGACTCCCGATGAGGCCAGGACAGGTCGCCCACCCGGCATAAGCTCACGGGGCAGCCCAGGCAGGCACCACGAGGGGCTCTAATGATGGACCTCATGGCTGTGTAGGGGACGGGTTGGTTTTGGGGTGTTGGGCTGGTGGCCTCTGCCCCCTAATTCACTGCTGCTCCCCGCGGTCTCTCCCCCGGTGCCCCACCACAGATGGGGGGACAAGAGCTCAGTCCCCGAGCCCTGAAAGGGGTGGGTTCCGAAAGCAGAGGCCTCCTTCCAGTGGCGTATGTACAAGTCTTTATAAAAGAATCAAAGCTCAATAAATATGCAACTTTACAGCGAGCCCAGCGGGCCTGGGGGCGAGAGGGAGGCGAGGGCAAGCAACTGTCCCATCTGGGGCCAGAGGAGGGTGGAGGTGGGTGGCCCTGGAGCCCAGCGCAGTGGAAGCTGGTGACTTCAGGGAATAGCGGACGAGGAATCCTGCTGGGCAGGCGGGGGGGCAGGTTAGTGACGGTGGGGACTGTGGGGGCCATCCTGAGCCTGGGCCTCTGCCGAACCCTCCTCATCTCCATCCAGTCTGGCCAAGTGCAAACGGCCCAGCGGCGGCAGGGGTCCCGCCCGGCACTCGGCTTGTGCGCACACAGGCAGCAGCTGGAGCGGGGGCCGCACCCCCCCGGAGGCCTGCTGTCTGCTGTCCGTGGTCAGTGGCACCCTTGGGGGCCTCCCTCTGCTCAGACCTCCCTGCAGGGGAGGGGAGGGGAGAGACAGTTCTTCCTTTGCTGATGCCACTCAGAGGGACTCCAGCCACCCTCTCCTCCCCGCTACACTTCTGACCTCTGACCCCTCACCACTGCTGGCCGAAGACACCCTCAGCCAAGCTCTGGGGCAGGCCTTGGGGTCCCTCTTCCATCCATAGCCCTGGGTGCCACCTGCTCCAGCCATGACCGCGCCCCTACCCACCCCCAGGGCTCAGTGCCCCCAGTGCCAGCTCGCTGGGCCGCCGGCCCTCTCCACCCCGGGCGAGGCACTCACGAGGCAGTGAGCGTGGAGTTGAGCAGCAGGGTGGTCCTGATGCGGTAGAGCTGGGCCAGCGTCAGCTTCCTGTGCTGGGCAGAGATCCCGGGGGGCGGCTCAGGCTGGACCCTGGGGGAGGCCCCTGAGGACAGCTTTCTGCTCCTCCTGGCGGGCCCTTCAGGCTCCCCCGCCAGGCAGGTGGTCCTGTCCTCCATCTCTGATGGCTGGAAGCCACTGCCAGGGCTTGGGGCGCCCCCGCAATTCCAGCGGGGCCCAGCTTCGTGAGGGGAGCCCCGAGTCCTAGTGCCGGTGGCTGTGGCAGCCAAGCAGAGTTCCGACAGGCTGCGGCTGGGGGCTGGCGGCACCCCCTGGGTGGCCTCAGATTTGGACTTGAGCAGGTGGGGCAGGCAGGGCAGCAGCTGGACAGGGGTGCGGCGGCGGCGGGGGCAGGGCGGCAGCCAAGCAGAGTTCCGACAGGCTGCGGCTGGGGGCTGGCGGCACCCCCTGGGTGGCCTCAGATTTGGACTTGAGCAGGTGGGGCAGGCAGGGCAGCAGCTGGACAGGGGTGCGGCGGCGGCGGAGGCAGGGCGATGGAGGGGGTGAAGGGGCCTGTGGTAAATCTAGGGGCTGGGGCGCTGGCTCCACCACAGGGGCTGGGGTCGCAAAGTCTTGCAAGGAGGTGGGGGAGAGGGTGCCGTAGGCGGAGTCCATGGAGCAGGAGCGGCCGTCCCCGGGGCCCAGGGCCAGCAGCTCGCTGGTCGGCGTGACGGACGAGGCAGTGGTACTGAGGGACATCTCGTCCGACTGGGAGCTGAAGGGGCCCCCCTCGAACTCGGGAGAGGACAGCGTCTCCCCGGGCTCCAGCACCACCATGGCCAGGGTCTCTGTGGAGCCGTCCGAGGCGCTGCGGGCCGGGAAGGGAGTCAGTCCCGGCACAGGAACCCCGTGCAGCCCCGGCAGGGCACAGCAGGGGCCCACAGCCTCGGCCCTGCCCGCCTGAGGCTCAGAGATGGCCAACATGGCATCAGCCCAGATCCCCTAGCTCCTGTGCCCACAGCGGACATCAGCATGGCATCCGTCCCCATCACGGACTCTTTCCCGTGGGACACAGCCTGAGCGCCCTCAGCTCGCTCCAGGCAGCTACTAATGAGCAGAGTTGGCGTCAAGTTGAAAAGCCTTTGCCAGCCCCGCCTGGACTCCGGTGCTCCCACACCAGAACCCACACCCGCTCCCTGCTGGGTTCACAGCGTGAAGCCATTCAGAGAAAGGCATTGGAGCCCTGCGCAGTGTCTGCGGCCTGGGGGTCAGGAGCTCCAGGCTGCAGTGCCTGCCCGGGCCGGGCCTGCTGGGGGTCCTGGGCAAGCGTACCAGTGCTGGGAGTCCAGGCTGTTGCTGCTTTTGCGCAGGATGGTGGGGGAGCTGGTGGCGGAAGTGCTACTCTCCCCACCCTCCTCATCCTCCTCGTCTTCCTCCTCGTCCTCCTGCTCATCCTCCTCCTCCTCCAGGCTCTGCAGGTGCTGCTGGCTGCCCCCGTGCTCCTGTGCACGCAGCTGCTGCAACTGGTTCTGCAGGCGGGGGCGGCGTCCACAGGGGCAGGTGGGCTGTGAGCCGCAGCCCCCACCAGGCCTGCTTAGGAAGGGCTCGAGTCAGTGTCCGCCAAGACTTCTGCCTGCCCTGCCCATCACAGCCCTGGCCCAGGGGCAGGGGGCGGGCTCCTCACCAGGGTCCCGCAGCTCCCGGCACACGATCTTGTCCACCAGCAGTGGTGGCCTGATGACCTTGGTCCTCTCAGCCTTCTTCACTGCCTTGGTCACCAAGAGCAGGTCCGTGAAGAGGAAGCAGTACACATCCATCTGGGGGGCAGGGGGAGCAGGAGAGGCCAGAGGTCAGAGCCAGGGTCCTGGGGCCTCAGGCAGGGACCCTCCGCCTGCCCGCTGCAGCGCCCTCTCCTGGGGGCACTCAGACTTGGTCAAACACCTCCCCTGCCCTCAAGGCCATGAATGTGAGAGCAGAATTAAAAGGAAGAGCAAGCCTTAGCTCAGCCGTGGGCAAACTACGGCCCGCGGGCCGGATCCAGCCCGTTTGAAATGAATAAAACTAAAAAAAAAAAGACCGTACCCTTTTATGTAATGATGTTTACTTTGAATTTATATTAGTTCACACAAACACTCCATCCATGCTTTTGTTCCGGCCCTCCGGTCCAGTTTAAGAACCCATTGTGGCCCTCGAGTCAAAAAGTTTGCCCATCCCTGCCCTAGCTGGTTTGGCCCAGTGGATACAGCATCGGTCTGTGGACTGAAGGGTCCTGGGTTTGATTCTGGCCAAGAGCACATGCCCAGGTTGTGAGCTCGGTTCCCAGTGGGGGGCGTGCAGGGGGCAGTCCATCGGTGATTCTCTTTCATCATTGATGTTTCTATCTCTCTCTCCCTCTCCTTTCCTCTCTGAAGTCAATAAAAAAAAGGAAAAACAAGACGATTTTCTTTCATTGAGCTCTAGACTTGTGACTTATTTAAATTAAAACTTGATATTAAAGAGGAAAGGGAGGTAAATTTTATTTTATTTTTATTATATTTTTATTGATTTCAGAGAGGAAAGGAGAGCGAGAGAGAGAGAGAAACATCAGAGAGAATCATTGCTTGGCTGCCTCCTGCACGCCCTCTACTGGGGATCGAGCCTGCATGTGGCCTTGACCAGAGTTGACTCCGAATCCTTCAGTACACAGGCGGACATTCTAGCCACTGGGAGGCAACTTTAAAATCCTGACTTGCAGGCTCTGGGCTACATGGCGCATGATGGATTACTAGCTCAGTGCAAGCGTCTGTTCCTGGCCTGCTAACGGAGTGTGCCCCCTCCCTCCCACCAGAAACCACACGGCATCCAGTGGGCAAGACAGGCGCCCACGGGCTGTGGCCATGCTGCTGAATTTGTAAAGCGCAAACTGCAGGCAGATAATCATCCCTCATAGACCACAAGGTCACTAGTTCTTGAATCACCGCCCCACTGACTGGGCAGCTGAGAACCACTGGCTCCACCCAGGAGGTGGCCCAAACCTGCAGGGCAAGCAGGGGCGAGGCAGGGGCCCTGCACACGGGGTGGCCCCTAGAGTCACCTTGCTGTCCTTTCCCTCCTTCATCCTCAGGCTGCCCTCCAACAGCAGCTGACGGGTCTCCTCGGGGGAGGCACCAGGGATGGGCGCGGTCAGGTCCAGGTGCAGAAATTCCTTCAGGAGCTGGGGGGGGGGGGGGGGGGGGGTGTGGTCAGGGCTGACCTCCCAGGTCAGCGAGGAGTCCCCACGCGAGACTCACTCCAGCACCGCCCTCCTGCCAGTCTGGCCCCTCCTCCCTCTCAGCAAGGTCAGGCCGCCCACCTTGTCCACCTCGTCGTTGCTACCCTCCACCACCTCGTAGGCGTCCATGCAGCTCACCACGGCGGCCAGCTGCTGCCGCTCCTGTCGCTGCCACATGCACGCGTTCACGTGGTGGATGAAGCGCTCCACGGAGCTGATCATGGTGATGACAGCCTCCTTGGCACGTGGCTCGTCCCTCTTCCTCAGCATCAACTTGAGCAGCAGCGGGTACTTGGTGAGCCGCTGGTGGGGCTTGGCGAGCATGTCGCTCAGCTTCAGCC